TATATATATATAGTCTAATTATATGTAGGTTACGAAACAAAAATTATCACTATAAATAAGTAACGAGAACGTAACATAAGCAATTAATATACTATAATATTATTTATAACAATCATTTGAATAAATTTGGCATCCTTTTATATAATTAGAAACACAATTTTAAAATAAAGTATTTGCAAACAAGATTTAACGTGTTAAAATAAATTAAAGAACACACAAACAATACTTACAAGATGTTAAAAGAAGTAAAAATAGTTAAATAATATATATTAACATTATCTAATATAAAATAAACTAACAAGATGGAGTTAGAGATACCCCACCAAACAACTATAATTATATTTATCTTTTAAAATATATAATGATAAACATTTCTTTCCCTTACCTTATGAGTTTTAGCAATAAGAGAAGTATGATGAAGTAGATTGTTGTTGACTTGCCTCAAAATATAACAAATATATTGATGTAAAACTTTGCAATAGAATCTCGATAAAATTTCTGACCTTATATATTTTCTTTCTTTCTCATCGTGTGAAAGTGTGTCTCCTATTTATATCCAAAAAATACTTGAATTTTTATTTTTATTTTTAATTATTACACTAGTTCTGATTTAATAGAAACTCTTAGGAATTTAGTTACATTATAATCAATTAATCCGATTTCAATATATTCGTTTATTAATTACGCCCCCTTCCCTTTCTACCAAATTCCTATTTTAGATAAAGAAGTTATCCCTTTTGCACAACTTCAATTCATAATTAATGATTCAATATTATATATATATATATATATATATATATTATAACATAGGTAATAGTGGTTCAGTGAAAAAATTTCTTGTAGATGTCGTGCATATTTTGAATCTTCCTATCCATATTCCGGCATATATTTAATTCCTTCCATCCGCACATGATTGTTTTTACAACTATATATATTATTTATATCATATTATCTATTTTATAAACTATTTTATAATATATATAATAATAATAATAATAATTTATATATATTTATATTATATTAAACTGTTATATATATATATGTGTAATTAATTTTGAATCTCAAAAAAATTAAAATTCAATAAAATATTAATATTATTTCTAAAAAAATCATCATACATTCCATAATGTAATTAAGTATAATTTATATCAGTTTAATTTACTAAAAATAAAATTTTGTTCATGAAGAGAAAAATTTGCAATTGAAAATTTAGAAAGTTATGTAGATAACACCTAAATCATTACTACAAGCATTCTTAAAAAATGTAAAAGGGATCGATCCACACTTTTGAGGAAATATACTAATAACGTTCAAATATTTTATAAGCCAATAATTGTTGGAAGGATCTTGATATTGTAGCAACTATACTCCAAGAAGTAGTCTTACTCTTAGCTGTGCCCTGCCCAAAAAGACAAAATCAAACAAATCAAAAATAACAAAAGCGAACAAGAAATTAAAGCATACGTTAATATTAATTTCTTTATTAATAATATCATAAGAAGGTGGATACAAACCGAGACTCACCCAACAATAAGAATTAGAATCCAAGTAGGAAAATTTACACGAAACGAAAGCAAATTACCATGAACAAATTAAGCGAAGATTGGATATTACAAACATCTTATTAAATACAAATATTAAAGCATATGGTTTGCATATATAGTGGCACTTAAGTTGTGGTGGATGATCACATGATGGAGCAAGTAGAATCAGGGCATGAATCATAATAAATTACTTGGTTAGGGTAAGGGTAATAACAAGGTTGATAGGGCAAACAGCATTTGGGACAGGTGCACCATTTTGGACATGGTGAAGGAGTACTTGGCTTACAACCATGGCACTTGCTGCTGTTGCAATTAGGGCATGGCTTACACTCATCATGATCATGACCCTCGCACTTACTGATCTCACATTCAACACTAACGATGAAACACTCCCCATCACAATTTGAGCTTAGGCACATTGTGCAACTTGTGTGACACTTACCATGGCAACTTGAGCTTTTGCACTTTTTACACAAAGCAATATGTAACAACTTTTTCAACTTTTCTTCCTTTTCCTGCCTCTTCAGCTCTAACTCCTCTTTCTTCTTCTTTTCTTCCTCATCCTTCTTCTTCTTCTCTTCGGCCGTTTTCTTCATGTCTTCCACACTCACAATGATCACAGACCGAAACTTTTTCTTCAGCTGGTTTGCCAAGCAAACCAAGTCCACATTTTCGCCAGTAGCCGCCACACGATCCTTGTCGTCGCCATCTAGGGACACCGAACTCACACCTGTTGGTTTAGGTCATCACTCAACAAATTAAATGCTAAGATGCATATTGAATTTCAACACATATTTTCAGACAAATATATCTTCGCTTGTAAAAACTTCCTTAACACTCAGAATTTTGTCTCTATTTTATTTCTGTTTACTCTAGAAGTAAATCTGTCTAAACTTACTTTGTTCAATAACTTATGTTATACATTAAATTTTAATGATTTAATCGTTGAAATTAAAATTTTTAATACATACATCAAGTTTGCAAATATTTAATAAAAATTATATGATACTTCGTTACATTAATTCAAATTGATAGATAATTATAAAAATATTTTTATATGTTGATTTGAATTAATGAAATGAAGTATTAAATAATTTTTAAATTTTTAAAAAAATTTACAAACTTGATTTATACATTAAGAACTATAATTTCAACGGTTAAATCGTTGAAATGTGATGTAAAATATAAATTATTGAACAAAGTAAGTTTAACTAAATTCATTATTGGAATAAACGAATTTCTTCACTTTCTATCTATATAATTATATATTATAGTTATGATGACATTTTTTTATGCGTCGTCATATGTAACATTTTTAGTAGAACACTTATCATATCTATCACTTTTATCTTTTTTATTTCTTTCTAATATTGCCGTTGATTGCAAAATCAGCTACTGAGATTTTAACATTCTACAAATTATATATAGCTTAGTTGTTGTATTTTTCTAGGTGCTTTTTAGTGTTGTTCACGATTAGAAATGAAGTTTCCTTTCATTAAATCGTGTAAAGTATATTTGTATTAAAAAGTTAATATCGATTACTTGAATCGAAATTTTAATTCTATCTAGAAAACAACACCAAAAATACCAAACAAACTGCTGTATCTTAATTAGTTTTTAATTTTCTTCATATAGAACAAGTTTTGTTAGGTATATGTGGATACTAATATGTATTTATATTTATCCTCAGAAAGAAACTTCTTTGCATTAGAGGAGCTACATCTATGTTCAAATCCATGCATGGTTCATAAAACCTATAAAAGGGATTGACATTGACATGTGACTTTCACCTGGTACCTCCGCAGCGATTTTCAGGGCTTTGTTTCGGCATTTGTCACAGTCCATTTCCAACTGGATAACTATTTTTTGCTGTATTAGACATGTTATGAGTAGGTTCTTGAGAAATTATCAAAAAGAAAAAAAAAAAAAACAGAAGGGACAGAAAAGCAAAACTGAAAGCATTGGTGAACTTAAGTGAACGGATCATACCTTCATGATTGCTAAACTAAAACAAATTAACACCCACTTCTTGCTCTAAACAAATTAACTAAAGAGTGTCTTGGTGTTTGTCTTGTGCTTTGGATCTGAGCGAGCATCTATTTGTTTATAGACTATGTCTTCGTTGACTAAGCACTGAGACGGCTGGCTGAGAATGACACAATAACTAACTGGATTAGGATTTCCATTTCTCCACTAAAAGTCGCATTCGACAACTTCCAAACACATTGTTTTTTAGGTATAATCAAGTTGTTTCAATTAATGTATTCCCTAATCAAATTGGTTCGAATAATAGACCAGCCTAACTCAATTGGTTAAATTCACTATTAAAGTTCCTGAGGTTTAAATTTTTTTTATATCAAGTTTGATTCATAAAAAAAAAAAAAAGAGTTAAATTTTGTTTGTGATATCTCATTAGTGTTTTCACATTCATCATGGAAAATTTTTAGAGTTTAATGATTATTGCATTATCAAATGTAAAAAAATTTACACGATTAATTAATTAAAAACTATAGATTATATAATTTTTATAGTAGTTATTGTAAGAATCAACGTAGTCATCATTTATGATAAATTGTGATTAAAAATTAAACACTTAACTTTAATATAAATTATTTCATTTTTAATTCACTTTTAACTAAAATCAGTGTATATCTAAAGTAAAGTTTTTAAATAGTCACTTAAATGCTGACTTAGTGACGTCTTTAGGTTCAAAGTTTCAACAAATGCAACTACGTTCAAAGAAATAGAAAATTCATTTTTTTTTGTACGGTAAACATCAAATGTTAAATAAACGAAAATTGAATTAGTAATATGATTTCTTAAAGTCACATGCGTCTACGTACGTAGTAACTTAAGAATTAATATCCATGAGAAAATTTGACTCAAAGTAGCTATTCATATTTTTTTTTTGAGAACACCTATCCATATTTTTTTGTTAGCTTCAATAATGACTTTTTAATTAAAAAATAACATCTTAGCGGTAAACAAGAAATTAACAATAAAATATGTCACCATTAATGAGTTTTTTTTATTTCAATTGAATAGAAAAAAAAGGGAAATAGGTAATTCAATTTTAAATAATATATCTAGTCATCTGGATGCATGAAATGCTGGCGGGCACAAATATTTCTATTAGTATAATTATTAAATAGTATAAAACACCTTATTAAAATTTAATTGAATAAAAAACTATACACAGTTTTTTTTTATATGAATTGTCTTTTTTTATTATTATTTTTTTTTTTTTATGAATAGGTATACACATACTTAAGCGAGCACATATTAAATGATATAAAATATGAGACATTTATATTTGGACGCAGAACACAAACAAATTTGTGTATAACAAAAGATTACGCTAATTGTTAAAGAGACGTGTCATTTGTCTTGATCCTCATGTTTGATTATTTAGTGTTAATCGATGTAAAAATAGATTAATGGGTATCATATATACATATGCCTATAACCCACTACGGTTGGTTTAGGGGATTAGATGTATATTATTAAATACTGCAAAAAGAAAAGCATTAATTAAAAGAAGATAATAGCATACAATGTTAATTGAGTATACATTTTTTAACAAAACAAAGCTGGAGGTATTTCCTATTCTGAAAATGTAAAAAAAATTATTTGAATAATATATATAAAATGCAAAAATTACGAAACGAAAATCCTAACTTCAAAAATGTAATAACAAGTAAAAAGGAGAATCCTCGCGAACGTCAAATTTTTTTGAGAAGAAAATTTAAAAATAAATAACTAAATTAGGGCTTCAGCCTTCAAACAAAAGCGGAAGAAAAAAAAAACAATATGGTCGCGCGGTGCTGATTGTATGAATAAATTATGTTGTATAATTGAGATTGTCCAAAGGAGTCAATATATATATCATTGACTAACATTGAAAATACATGCATTATATTAAGCAATGAAGTGATTCCAAATTGATCTTGTCTTCTAATTATTTGTACATGAGTAGAAGGAATCCAACTCTTATTGGTGATATTGTTAACAATGATTAACTAAATGATGGTACTTTCATATTAGTATTTTTTAATTACTTTTTAATGTTACAAAATAAATAATAAATCTTAAATTACTTACTTTACTAATGATTTTAAACAAATCCTCCATTCAATAAAAACAAACAGGCCATCATTATCGAAATAAAAGGATTAATTGTGCAATCTCAATTTGTTTGATGGACATATTCAAGCACATTTTTCATATAAATTAGTGAATTCCGGTTGCATATATTAGCTCGGTTTTTGTCAATTTTCCAAAAAAACTAGTACAACGCAATAACCGGTTTGAACAAAAATATTGACCTTGCAAGCAATTTGTTGTTTGCTTAACAATTAGTTTTGAGAAAGCATTTTTTAGCTCGTTTAATTTTCTAGCTATTTCTATAAATATTTTTAAAAAAACTCAGTTTTTTTAACCAAAAAGTATCATTTTATTTTGTTTGTACTATTTTATTTTAAAATTTATATATAAAAATAAAGAAAATATTTTTTTTTACATTCATTAACAAGTTATTATTAATAATCTTTAACTAAACAAAAATAATGAAATTTCTATAATTATTTATAAAAATAAGAAATAAAAAGAAAATGTGTTCTAAAAAGTAGACATTTGATGTCATTGTTATATATATATATATATATGAGGAATATTATAATAATATCGGTGTAACTTTTTTAAGTATTACATCGTTTAATAACTTTATATTAAATGTAAATTTTGTAAATTCAATCGTTAGATTGAAAGTTCATTACTTTTATATTACATTACAAAATTTTATATTAATTCAAGATGATTTGATATTTTATTCTTATAAAATAAAATTTATAAAATTGATGTAATATATTTATTTTAAAATATACTAAAATATGAACACTTTGATTACCTTCAAGTTGTTGATCAATTTTAACAAAATTTGATATGCACATATAAAGTAATATGAATTTTTAATCTAACGATTAGATTTACAAAATTAACAATTATATATATATATATTATATTTATACGGTTTGCCTAACCAAAAACTCAAACTTTGAAAACAACTGGAAGAGACAGTATGCATGTGGGACGTGGACAGATTATCTAACAGTTTGCCTAACCAAAAACTCATCAACTTTGTAACAAAATGGGAGAGTCAGTATGCATGTGGGACGTGGACAGGTTATCTAACTTAGGACATGAAGAATATGAGATATAAACCACCATGTTACAATCACACAATAATTTTATTCAGCTCTTATAACATAATAACAAAAAGACATTTTGTTTATTAAATCACCTAAATTAATGAGTGATATTTAATATCATGATATGTATACATGAATTCATATTTCGCTTGTATACACATATCTATCTTTAGATCTGTATATGATATATGATATCGAGTTTCTTTTTCTTATTAAAAATTCTATGCAATTGAGTATATGATTCATCATATAGTCATTTTTTTCATTTTTTTTTCTTTTTAATGTCTCTTTTCGATCTCAGTTTTCAAATAATACAAAATTTATGAAGTAAAAGCATTACTTTGCACATGTTGCACAAGTAAATTAAAACAAATGTTTACTAATAAACACAATGCTAACAACAATGTTAGGAGCAAGTTGGTGTTGACTAGTATCACCAATTTACATAAAGTTATAAATATACATATTTTTCATTGTACCAAATCCTAACAACTCTCTCTATATATATATCCTACAACATATAAAAGTTTTATTGAAGAAATAAATAAAAATATTGGTACAATTACAATATTGGGGTTAATTCAGAAACATATTTTCGTTTAACAACACATCTTTAAAAGTTTTCTTTTTATTCTTTTCCATTACATCTTTGTAAAGGTTGGCAAACATGAAAGTGCTGCTCTCTCCAACATGGAAAGTTTCGTCACATTGAGGCCCTGCTCCTCTTTTGATATCGTAACCAGGGTAAAGTTTTTTGTCAAACTTCTCTTTTCCAACCAATGACAACCCCTCACTTGTTGCCAAACCCGTTATGTTCCACAAAGTGAAAGGATATGTTGTCTTGTGGGTAATTTGAATTTCTCCATCGTGTTTAAGCATGCCTTTAGCATTTTTCAGAAACCCACTCACTAGAACTTTGTGAAGCCTGCATTTAATTAATTTCCATATATAGTGTGAATGAAAGCTAAAAGTTATAGGAAAATGTTAGGAAACACTCGCATCTACTTTCTTGAGTAAATTGTACTTTTTTTTCACTTATATTAATAATTTCATGAAGTTTGTTAATTGTTACCCAATTTTTTAAATTTATATTATGCTACCTAATTTTTAAAATTTTACATATTTAAATATTATATTAATTGATTGTTTAAGGTTCACAAATTGAACATCGACATAATATATTAAATATTTCATTTTATGTGATGGAAGTCAATATCAATAAATTACATGATAATTAATATATTATGTCAAAAATTAATCAACAATTTTAAATGGTTAATAAATAAAAGATAAAATATGAAAAAATTTATAAAATTAAATGACAAAATTTATGAAATCTTAAAATACAAGAGATAGGTGACAAAAAAATAATTAATTTATATTCCTTGTTGTTGACAAAATTTACTAAAAATTATTGAATTGTATAAGTCTCATTCTTATAATCGTAAATGCAGTTTGTAATAAATTTTGACCATGGTGTAAAACTAAAATACTTTTTTTAAAAATTAATAGAAAATTAAAATAAGAATCTCTAAGTTTTTTTTTTACGAACTAATTAAAAAATAAGATTTTGAAAAAATAATAAGAAAGAACTTTCACGAATTATTTAATACATAAGTCAATCTTAAGAAATTTACCTTATTTTTTCATCCTATTTTTCAGTTTAAACACTATTATGTAATTATTAAAAGTCTGTTTAGATAATTTTTTCTAAAATTATTTGTAAGATAAAAAAAAATAGGAAGAAAAGTAAATGAAAATTATCTATAAATTAATATTAGTGTATGTTTAAGTTAAAATAAATTTTTAAAAAAGATAATATA